TTTTTTTGCGTGTCTTACTATGTAATTCAAGCTGGCCTTGACCTTGTTTAGAGAAGTCAGGCTGCCTCGAACTCACAGTGATCCTCCTGCCTCAGCCTCCTGAGTACTGGGATTACAGGCATGTGCCACCACACCCAGCTCCCTAGTGATCATTTTTAGAACTTGTTTAGAGAAGTCAGGCTGCCTCGAACTCACAGTGATCCTCCTGCCTCAGCCTCCTGAGTTAATGGGATTACAGGCATGTGCCACCACACCCAGCTCCCTAGCGATCATTTTTTAAGATTTATATCATTTATATTGACAAAATTGACTTTAAGGCCAAAAGCATTAATAGAAACACTACCAAAGATTAAAGTCAATTCATAAGGAAAATATTTTTTTTTTTTTTTTTTTTTTTTTATTTAGGACAGGGTCTATAGAGTTTCACTGTGTATATCAGACTCATAGTTATTCTCCTGTTTTCAGCCTTCCAAGTGCTGGGATTACAGGCAAGCACCATCACACCCAGTCTCAATTGCCCTCAGTGTGCCCCAGGGCGGGGCCGGCACTGCAAAGGAAAATAATCTTTTTTAATCTCCTCCCCACCTCCGGTACTGGGAATTGAACTCAGGCCCTGTGCTTGCCAGGCAAGTGCTTATTCTACTGAGCTATCTTCCCGGCCCCTGAAAATAACATTTCTAAACAAGTATGTATGTATGCATTATTATTATTATTATTATTATTATTATTATTATTATTATTATTACTTGGTACCAGGAATTAAAGACTTACACTCTTGTGTATGTGTGGACAAGTTGTCCTAAAATATAAGCAGAAATATGAAGGATCAGAGTGGTCATCACAATTTTGGATGCCAGCTTTCTGCCTTCAAGTTTTCCAAACAGGCCTCTGGTAGCATGCAACAGACAGGTGATCTGCATCATGCCTGGTCTAATTCCTGACTCAAGGAAACTGTACAAGAAGAAATGATTATTTTTTTAACCAATAAACAATGGGCAACCTGGGCTGGGGATATAGCTCCATGGTAGAAGGGCCTGCCTGGCAAGCACAAGGTTCAGAGTTCAATTCCCACTACAAAAAAAAAAAAAAAAAAAGGCAACCTACAGTATAATCTATAAAGAGTGCCGTCATGCCAATGAATTCTTTGAGGCATTGTCTTAGTTACTTTTCACTTGTTGCTAGGACAAATACCCGACACTAAAAATTAAAGAAGGAAAGGTTTATTTAGCTCACAGTTTGTAGAGGCTTCAGTCCATGCTCCACTGGCTCCAAGGCAAAGGGGGGCAGTTCATGGTGGCAGAAAATAATGAAGATCAGAGAAGGAGCAGCAGCTGCGGCATCCATCTAGCCTCTCTCTCTTCCTTGTATGCTGATTGCGAAGACCTGTGTGCTGTTTGGAAGATCAAGGGCCTCCTAAGCACCACAGCTGCGAAGTGGTACATGGAAGGCCGAAGACCAGGATTTCTACAAAGAAGCAGAGCAGGTGGTAGTAGCCTTTCTTAACTGTTTTATATAGTCTTTTTGGGCTGAGTCACTCTGGGGCGGGCCCAATCGCACCCCAGGGCGGGCCCCCATGGCTGGAAACTGCCGGAATCAGCCAAGTTGACACAACATATCAACCTCTACAGGCATGTTAATTCTTTAAGGCTTTAGAAACAAGTTGGATATGATGGCACACACCTGTCATCCAAGTACTCAGGAGGCTGAAGCAGGAGGACTGGTGTGAATCTGAGGTCAGTCTAGTGTACAAAATGAGTTCACTACCATCCTAAACTACAGAGCAAGACTCTTGAAAGAAAAAAAGAAAGAAGGCAAGAAAGAAAGAAAGAAAGAAAGAAAGAAAGAAAGAAAGAAAGAAAGAAAGAAAGAAAAAAAGAAAGAAAGAAAGAAAGAAAGAAGAAAGAAAGAGAAAAGCAAGCAAGCTTGAGGGAAGAAAAAGATAAAGTTAAGAACAAATTACTGATTTTTTTTATGCCTCTCTATTAAAAAGAAAAGTGCAGGCTGGGTGTGATGGCACATTCTTGTAATTCCAGCACTCAGCAGTGAGGCAGGGGGGTTGCCTTGAGTTTGAGGACAGCCTGGGCTACATAGTGAGCTCAAGGCCAACTTGAACTACATACCAAGACCTGTTTTCAAAAAAAAAAAGTAAAGAAGGGAGGCATGTTACTTCTTAGTGAGTCATAGTGAGTACTTGGTGAATCTCTGGGTTTGTGGCATACATGCGTCCTACTTTGGTGCGTTGGCTCAACCAATTTTGGGTATCCTAAAAACTGCCTATTTTTGGTGGATACCAAAATGATGAAAGTCTCTTCTTGTTCAGAATATGGCCCACAGCCTTTAGGCTTCAGTAGATCAGTGGCAATTACACACTGCATGAAGATTCTAACAAACCCCAAGGAACGAATCATAAAAGGAAGATAGCTATGTTTTTTGAAGTGTTCCCTTCTTTTCCAAGTCACTATTCTCCATTGGCCTGGTGGAAATTAACCTCAGATTATGAGAAACTGCAGCCCAGCAACTAGAACTTTCCATTGTGAACTGCATGGTGGTCTGCCTGCTCCATGTCCTTGGGAGCCCACTGTATCCATGCTATAGAAGTATCACCCAAAGTTCTGTATGTTAAAGGATTGGTCCTCAGAATGACAGTGCTGGAGCTGGTGGGATTTTAATGTGGAGCATACTGGAAGGCTGTAGGGGATAGTGGAACCCGAGCCTCTTCCAACTAATCATGGACTGAGGTCCCAAAACTATTTTCTTTTAGGTAGCAATGACAACCTGACTGACACCAATGAAGTATCTTTAGATCATTTCTCTTGGGCTGACTGGAATCACCAGAGATATACCTCCAGTTTTGCTGCCCAGAGAGCATGGGATCTTATACCGGAGAGGAGCATTCAGGGAAGGCTGGGAATATCAAGTTCATCATGTAAATTTTCATTTATCTTAACCTCATCAGTCCTCTGTATTTAGCATAGTACCGTGTGCTCTGCCGTGTGTGTCTTTCTGTTCCAAGACCAACCTCCCAGACTATTCCTTCAGTCTCCTGCAGAGGTACAAGGAGGAGTCACTTCATTGCAGAATAGGTACCTCACTGTTGCTTCAACAGATTTACCACAAATTCAAAACATCACTTTCACTC